GATACCTTCAATTTTAAGTACGTTGAAATATAAAGGTAGTCTTCATTTCAAGTTAGTTGATTAATTCATTATAATACATTTTATAAGGAAGCTCCGTGGAAAATGTTATTGAAAAGTGACGATAAGTTTTCTCAGAAGACGAGCGTGATATCTAAGAAAATAAATCAAACATGTTTACAGCACGCTCCTCCATTTCGTATCTGTATTTGACGACGTATTCGAGGAAACGCTTTTAAAATTTTTTCGAGAACTCGAATGACTTCGCGTTTAAATATAAATCATCTTCCGCAGGATTTTTGGTAAATCTGCCTCCGCGAAATTCTTTCTCGCGTTCAATTTCTCGAATTAGAACTGACGTAACGCCTTATGCGATCCCCGCGGTTGCTGATACGAATCTTCAGCTATTGAGAATTACCGATTGACAGAGCTATTATCTCACTAAACAATCGACGTCATTACGCATTCTAGGAAGAAAAACAATTGCTCATAAATAGATTTGCTTATAGACGCCTGGGATACGTAACGAAATTTTTTTAGAACGTTACCGTTTCTCTGAGCTGATTTTAAAATTTATTAATAGACTTGTTTGATCACTCTTGGGTGTGTACGTACGCCAAGAAGAATGTAATTGGAAAGATTAAAAAATTTACCTTTTAGAAGCTTTTAGAATCTTTAAAAGAAATCATGTTAAAATTATTTGTTCAAAGTAGAACGCACGATTGATGCTTTTTGTCATTTTCAATTTTATTTTTTTTTTTTCTAAATTTCGTTGCTTTACATTTTTAGTTAATGCAATTTATTTGATTTCGTTTAATGAAGGTGAGAGTTTGAAAGAGATTGCAATGGTCGCTGTAATATTTTATTAAAACTAGTAACCAGAAATAAAGTAGAACATGCCTCAGATGTGAAATGGTGCACGCGTTCCGTGCAGTAGGCCAATTATTAAATGGAGCGGGAGTCACCTTTAAATAACAATATTCGTTTGTGTGACATGTTCCTGTTCTTGTTGCATCCTGTTCGTTCAAGTCTGACTAATGTCTCTGACTATTAATGTACCATCGTCTGGAACTACTTTGTAGCTAATTCATTGTCACATACAAAGTTCTCATGTACACGTTAAAATATTTCCGAATACACATGAAGAAACGTAGAAGTTACCGTTTAATATTTCTTAACTTAACGAAGGAATGGTATTTTTCTCCTACACTTATTCTGTTTGAAATTAAATTTGTTTAAATTAGGTAGTAGTATTATATTATTGATATATTATTAGATTTAATGTATTATTTAAATACTTGATTACACTAGATTATATTTTATTCAATATACTTGATTCGTCATAATAAGGAGAAAAATAATTAAATTCAAGTATTCGAGCAGCGAAAGCAAGGTACTGCTTTGCAACATAACATAAAATTCTAGTTCAGATGTGAAAACAATATTCCTGCATGCTTAACTATTCTTCACCTTTTACCAATGATATTTCCTGGAACATTTAATATTCTTGTTCCAAAATGATGTCCACGAGCTGATCGAACTGGATAGGTTGATGGCTTCGTTAAAACGATACGCGGACTGCCATTGTATGGTTACATTTGCTCGCGAGACCAGGAAGTGATAAAACAACAATATCGACGGGAGTAAGCGACGCGGTCATAACAGATTATCTGAGCAACGTCAAAGATAGTTAGGGAGTGCTGGGACCTTCTGTAACGCTCAGAGAGGATGTAACATTGAACTTAACTGGCTAATAACCTCCGGCCATATGCAATCTATAGACAAACTTCAGATGTTTCGCTACGGATCGTGACGTGCAGTTTCGTTCTAAATTGCAAATGATTCGTAACAAATACACGCGAGTAAATTGAAAATATAAATGAAGAAACCTCCCATTTAGATCTGGATCTTCAAAATTGCGTTATTACAATTCAAATTAAAATGTTTAAATTTACGAGCTTCGATGTGCAAAAGAATTATGATGATTACTTCTTCCAAGCTACATTCATATCGAGGCAACAATTTTTGATACAAATTTCTTTGGAATAATACATATTATTTTGTAAATATTGATTCGGTTGTTGGTAGTTCAGTTGGATAAAGGAACTGTTGGTAGTAAAAAGAAATATTTATTATTTATTTTTGCAGTTAAAAAAATCCCACGGGGAACGTTGAATAGCAAATCACTCGAACCCTTCGACACTTCGTGCACGCGCAAAACGTTTCTGTAGTTAAACACTTGTCACGTTTTTCTCGTTATTAAAAAATGACACGGTGCGCTAAGTGTGACAGATGACGAGGGGCAGATTCGCGAATGATTTGCCCGGGACACTTGCAGAAGCGACGAATAGGATGGTATTGAACGCGTTAACCCTCTGCAACCCAAATTACTTTTTATTTTTGAAACACTCGCAAAGGGTTTTTCCAAAAGGGGTTCAGGATTTTGTTTTTTAATAAAAACATACGCCTATTAGCGTAGTCGTCGTGAACATCATCTTTAACGTTTAATTATAATCATGTGTACTTTCATTTAAAGTAAAAAAAAAAAAAATTGTATATATTGTATACCATTTGTGTTTTATTAATAAACAAAATTTTAGAGCCTCTTCTGGAAAACTCTTTATAATATGACACTGATAAACATTAAGAATGTGGTGTTAATCTAATCACGAGCTCAGCTAGTGTGGCTGACTCTACTGAGTTGTCTGTACATGACGTTCCGTAACCCCTTATGTACTTCAATGGGAAATCAGCAGGGCAATCTTAAAACTTCAAACGCATGATTTCACATAGTTTCAACAAGCAATTATCGAACGTGAGGATAGTACGGATAACGAAACCGAGGAAGTCTGATAGTAATTGTTTCGTACGACCTTGTGTGATCATGTATTTTAATTGCATGAATTATTGGAAGAGATTCCATTAGATTACAGGTGACTCATACATGACAATGCATTTCAATGGAGTAACTAGACAGGATTCGTACGAATAAGCTACTTTTGGTATCAGAAAAAAAAACATTAGACCACTCATCCTTCAAAACTAATTTTTAGAATTTTCTGAAGATTGGAACTCCTTTCATTTACCACGTTCCGACCTTTCGATTCAGGTTATTTATCTAAATATCATGCAAAAGTGGCGAATTGAATAAAAGTGCTGATTTCAAACTCGATATTTTTCACAGGTTTCAATTATCAATGTGTAGCACGTTTAAAGTCCGCATGGTTAATGGAAGACACGCTTTTTTTAGACTGCAATCATGCTCGAAAATGTTATCAATTACGCTGCCGTTGAAAACCGTGGTCGTATTATTATTTCGAAAAGAAAACGCGTCTTTACCCGATTTCACGCGTGAATGAAGTGTAATTAATTCATCATTGACGTTTAAGGTGCTCGCTAGCGCAGTTACCAACGAACACGAATCCTCTCGCTCTGAAGTCTTTCAAGATTTCTGACATTTATTAAAACCGCTAACGCGTCGCATCTAGGGGCTGCTGAAAACACACATTTCCTTAAATACGGCTCACATTTGAATGGGCTGTACGTGTTCTTGTTTGCTGTTACTCTTTCTGCGCTTCCAAACCCTTTTCACAGTGCTTTTTTATTTTTTCTTGTTGATGACACAAAACACCTTGGAATTATTTTTACTTATCACTAAGAATTCATGCAGGACGTTATCAGGGTGACTCCAGGTTTTCTTTTAATGTTATTTCTGCATGAAAATTTTCATTGACTAAATGTATTTTATTTTAGGTTATATATTACTTGTAATTAATTATTCTTGAGTTATCTTAACAGATGTTAAGAAAAAAATATGTGGTGAAATTCGAAATGCAGACACAGAGAAACACACAAATTAAAGTAAGGAAATGTATGTAACATTAATACGAAGGAATAAAACATTGTTTAGATTTGTAAATGGAAATCAAACGTGTAAAATGAGTGATTGTGTCTTGGAATGGTCTTGATGTTTATGTTTAAATTTCTAGTAGGAACCAAAGACTTGTGAATCATTTTTTCTATTGTTAACTTTTCGTCACTTTTATTATCTATAGTACCATTATGTTGAACGGAGGACTTTCTTTCCGGTGTGAATTCAAATTCACCGGTTTGTAGTGGTTTCCTCTTTTAAAGGTCGGCTTTGTACGGTGAATGGGTACGTTGTCACTTATGCGAGCGTCTTTTGACGTATTTCCGTAGCATTACGTTACTATGGAGAATGCAATAATACCTCTACATAGCGACGTGGGCTCTCGCATAATTTCTGACAACTATGCGCCCAACTGGGACCACGTACATTATACTTTCGAGTAAAGTACGAAAAGAATTTTTAATATGTTCTTCGCAGACTAATTTTAAATTTGGTTTGTCGTTGAAGCGACCGAATATTCAATGTCATTTACAGTTATTCATGAAAATATCCGTCCACTCGGTATGTATAATGTGTTTTACATATTTAAACAAGTCAGGGCTGGGATAACCAATTTCATTCGATTTTAATATAAACCTACATTAATATATTTTAATTTTTATGGAAGAAAAAAAGTAGTCGTAATTTTATTTTTATTTTATGTTTTGCATTTGATAGTTTAGTGGATATTGTTGCCCTATCACACACAACCTAGTTAATGAATATTCTTGAAGATCCAATTTCGACCACTATATTTATTCTAGTAAAATTAACTATACTTTTCATTTTACACAGCATACTCTTACTTAACATACAAAATTACAACCAAGTCGTTCCTTCCATAAATTTAAATTTCTCCTTTACTATCATGACTTTTCATCAGCGCTCAATTTATAGCACTGTATATTATTCAAGCTTCACTATCTAAAGAGACTCAGCGCACTCCATCTATCACAGATTAAATAATCAGACAATCTCCGATTAAAAACAAACGTTCGCCACACGCATTATCTGAAATATTTCCCAGAGGCAACGCAGTAAATTCGAAAATGTTCCACAACAGATTCAAACTGAAACAAAACCGTGGACTCACCGAAAACGCACATCGAGGTCAGGATCCAGTGGATCGATTCCTTCTTCATGGTGTCGGTCGTCCCCGTGAGCACTGGTCGGCTGAACAAAATAACTGACACGTCGCGAAATACCGCACGCGTCGAAATAAAAATGCGAACGCGCGTTTATAGGTACTGTTTTCGATTTGCGTCCAGCATACGCTCTCACCTATATTTAGGCGGCACTGCAATAATAGCACCGGCCACGTTGAGGAAGGGAGAAACTGGAGAACGCGAGGAGAGGAACGCGATGGTTTTCCAGTGGCAGGGTTCGAATCATCGACAGCCAGACCAATCGCAACGGGCCCCCTTCCTCTTCCGGTACCAACTGCTCCGTAGACGTTATCTTCCTTCTTATTGGACTCTTGCGGACACCTCGACCCCTTCTGACCCTGAACTAATGTTTGCTCGATCGTTTGGGATCAAGAGAGATTTGAAAGCTTTAATTTTGGAAGCTTTGATTTTGGAAGCTTTGGTTTGGAAGCTTTGATTTGGTAGAAATTAGAAGCTTGAATGAAACAAAGACTTCCAAGGATGTATAAATGCGAAAAAATTGCTTTCGTCACTAGTCGAATACATATGCAAAACTTTGTTTCAATGGTCTAGGAATGTTCTTGGAATAGTAGATTTGGGATGTTTGTAAACCTTTAAAATGGGCACTGTTAATCACGGATGTATATGTTCCGGTTTCAACCACTGAAATACTCGAAGGCTACTGTTCCCCATTGAACACTAAAGGTGTCACTCACAGGGCACCACCGGAAGGACCAGGTATTCGAGTAATCTTCGGCGCATCCAAAGAAGGCGGAATTGCGCAAGACCGTGGCGGGACACTGACGTTCGAGCTTGAATGGAAAAGCAGACTTCTGAGGATGTTTAAGATTGTTTTCGTCACTAGTTGAATACCTATGCAAAACTTTCTTCCAATGGTCACACGAAGATAGACACACCTTCACAATGAAACTCGTTAGTAACAGTAGAAGCAAGAATAATAAAGCCAGTGACGTGTTCAAACATCCGTTCTACTTCGATCCCTTTGAAGTCAAGAGAATAGAACAGTTAAGAGAATAGAAACACTGTTGTCACACTCTGGAGAACTCTCAGGGTTCGACCTTGAACCTAGGACCTGAGATCCAACCGTTTCGCTGCTAAGTTTGGACCAGGAAGAGATCTCGAGGTGTAGTCTTCGGGTACCGCGCGTTTCGGAGAAGTCTTCTTCAACGGATTAAATGACAACGCGACGATCGAACAACGGAACCAGACAAACCAGCGCGACGGAGTTTGTTTGGAGAGCGGTGTTTGAACGACGAGGAAACGAAAGGCAAGGGAGGGCGACTGGTTCAGCCTCGAATTCTCTGTCTCGCTCCCAGTTGTCCCCGGCCGCCTCCGTCTCTTGATCTTCCTCCACCGCCACCTACGCCACTGACATCGACGGTGCCGTCGTCGACGAACACTTCCCCTTCTACCACCCGTTGCCACCGCGTCACGACGGGGATTCACGATATTTTCGTACCCTCGTTACACAGACACGACGTCGGAGGCCTGTCGAAGAGATGGGCTAGAGAGCACGATGCTGCGGAGGACAGAGGAACCCTTTGGAGGACTGGAGACGTGAACCTGACGAGTGGTACGTGCGAGGAAGCTTTGTAAGCGAAGAGGAGTAGGTTGGTGTTCGAGAAATCCTTAACGGGGGGCTGTCAAGGGTTGTTATTGTCAGGGGATCGTTTTTTTATATGATAGGCGTGATAAGGTAGGTAATTCAGGGTCGAATAGAGATTGTAGGTATCTGATGTTTGCACGGATGCATATTTTAGGTGGGAGATTGTAAAATGCGTGCAAGAGGAGTGGGGAGATGTGTTAAGAAAATGTTCAACATTGACATGGCTTCTTCATTCTTATCTTCTTACCTCTGTCATCTACCTTCTTCAGTGTCTTCATTACTTTCGTTATCTTCGTGTTCGTCATCCTCATCATATTCATCATCTTTCATTTACACCCAAAATACACATATTTATTCAGAAGATCTTCATCGTTTTCATCACCATCATTATTTACTATATTCATTGTCCTCATTACTTTCGTTATATTCGTCATGTTCATCATCTTTAATTTACACCCAATACATACATACATTCAGAAAACACGCAAAATAAATCAACATCGTCGTTGCCATTGCAAACTTCACCATCTTCTTCATCATTGTCATCTTCATTGTCAATGTTGAATCCTCAATTCATTATCCCATTAAACTTCTCTATTAATATATTAACTCCAAGCATTGTCCTCAACGCATTGCCATTTGTCAAGATATTGACATAGATCTATCATCCGCCTGTCAATCTTTTATATCATATTTTACATTTGTTTACGTTTTTGCACCTCTGGATTGTCAAAATATGTCTAAGAACAGTTAGACTAACAGTGACTTAAAACAAAAAAAAAAAAAGATTGGTGGTGGTATAGATTCAGGTCATCAGCTGTGGTTTTATATTTCAGAGGACAAGCATTATTGTATTTAACTACTAAATTATCATTGCAAGGAACTTTTTATAGGATACTCAGACTGACAATATCAAGCAACTGATAATTCCAGTTGTCGAAACACTTCAAGATTCTATTACCTTCTGTTTACTACAGTTCCATTATCTTGTACGTTTTATTACAAAACGTAACGGTGCCATCGTACACAGTTTAAGGGATAACATTTATAGAAATATCGCAATTTCAATAATTCACTTGAACAGTCTGACCTAATAACTTCCCCAAACATTGGTCAGTTTATAATTAATCGCCTCAACGTGTCCTGTGCACGGGGAATTCCTGATTGGTTATCAACAGTATCTAGGGACGTGACCATTGATTGTAAGGGGATTCGAGCGTCCATCAAAGGGATTTGTTACTTCAAAGACAATGGATTTCTCTATCTTTCGTGGTCTTAATTAGCACCTGATGCAGTTGCATCTCAATTCCGTAATTGGACAATAATTCTATTGGTCGTCGATGTTCAAGACTCTTGATTACAAAACTGGAGTGCTTTGGCAAAACTTGATCAAACGAAGCCTATCATTCCAATCAATAATTAAAAGCTTCACATAATTAACATCTTTATTTCTGAAATCTTAGAACTTTCTAGATTAAACGTCAATTTAGTTAAATCTTCGATATCATCATGAAATGATCCGTCGTTGATCATAACAAAGTATTAGCATCGATCATTTACTTCACTGTTTGTGTCAAAGTAATAATCACTTGGTGCTGATAAGAACAAAGCTCTTTTATCTCTAAACGTTGTATTTGAGAGTCTGTGCATAATCTTGACGTTTATATATAGACGTCGTTTTATCGTTGAGATAATAAAACGGGGTAAACCGTCTGACAATACTAAAATTAAAAAGTTTTACCGAAAAAATGTAACAAATTTTATGGCTGATCTGATTTAATTATGTTATTTACTATTAATTATGCTCAATAATAATTGAATTTTACACCAGGTGGTGTAAACAAGAAGAAGATGCTTGTTTTCACTTTCTGCGAGTTATTATTTTCAATATTTAATACAAATTAATTGTTTAAGAATGCGATATGCTTTGGGAATTAATCTAGGTGATTTAAATCAATTTTGCCACCAAAATGTAGTATCGCCATCTAGCGATGAAAAGGCTGAACTCAAATTTCGACCCTTGGTCAGCACCTCTATCGGGAAAACGCTCAAGTTTGTCCTCGAATAGTTTCTTTTTTCGTCGTTAGATGGCGCCATTTTAGTGGGTACTTACCGACATACCGACATTATAGTTATTTATATATTTTATCTTTATTTCCACTTAAATGTTAAACATATTATGCAATAATGTGAGCTTACCATGTAATACATCGAAATTGACATTTATCATTACTTATTCAACTGAATAAAATGATAATTAATTTCAATGCTTCATATTGCAATAGTTTATTTTAAGCCTTGTTAAATAAGGTAAAGGCCAAAGAACATTTTTTTTAGTTCATTCTTAACATTATAATGCATGAAGTATACTTATAAAGCCGTTATTTAATGTGAAAAAGGATTAGATAATAATAATTTATGGTAAGGTATCGGCTTTGCCATCTAGCGTCGGAAAGCAGAAACTATTTCTCGACAAACTTGGACGGTTTGCCACCGATGGCGCAACTTTATACTGTTTAAAAAAAAATATGAATTTAAATTAAAATACGAACGTAAAGTAATGCGTGTTTGTAACACAAAAAATGCCCACGAAAACAACATGAAAAACATATTACACATTCACACATTTCTGTACTCAATGATCCCCTACAGTGTGTTTCACTATATTATACAATTATTAGCTAATAAATCTATATCCTGTACATTTTCAGAGATAATATTTAGACGAATAACGCAACTGTAATGACACACCTGCCTTGCTACCTGACCAGAGGTTCAATCAATCCCTAATTAATCGTGTAACTGTATTCTGCACACACACATATAATATCTAATTGATTATTAGCAGTGCTCAGGAGTGCGATCATCAATAGTAAGAGGATTCAGACGTCTACCAAAGGGATTTGTTACCTCAAAGACGAAGGATTTCTCTATTTTCCGTGGTCTTAATTAACATCCTTGATCCAATTGCATTTCAATGCTGTAATTGGGCTATCATTCTATTGGACCATTGATGTTAAAGGTTCTTAGCTAGAAGACTGGAGGACTTCGAGAAGATGTGCAATCAGGAGAAGCCATTCATGCCATGGATAATTAAAATATTTCGTCGTCTACTATCAGTCGTCAACGTGAAAATGAGGAGGACACTAATGAAAACATAAGTAGAAATTAAATCAAACTAGAAATTATCCCCTCCCCTACATCCAAAATCATACAGCTACGCGGTTTAAAGTATTATCATCATTTATTTATTTCACTGATCATGACAAAGTAGTAATCACATAAAGCTGATAAAAGTAAAACCTCGTTATCGCTAAATCGTGTATTGTATTTACAAGTATATAGTTTTTTTTTTATCGCGTCGTCGTTTTATCATTCATCTTTGTTCACCGTCTCATTTTCTCGACCAACGATAAATATATATAATATATATATATTTTCTTTTTCTTTTTTTTTTCATCATTTTTGTGTCTGCATCGATCTGCCTTACAAAAATTACGTAGATAAAGCTAAAAACAGTTTACTATCTTTCTCGGTTCTTTGACAAAAGCGCACCGTACGAACTGTCTTTCATACTTTTTTCTCTCTCTCTCTCTCTCTCTCTCTCACACAGACTCTCTCTCATTGACTTACTCCCTCAATCAGTCGAACCACTCGCTCGTTCACTTCCAGATTCGCTCTCCAACTCACTCAATTCCTTTTCGTACAATGCCGTGTTTATTGTTTGCATCAACATAATTTGATTGCGCCGTTTTAACTTGCGCATCCTTTCGACTAAACACACTCCGAACGCCTGTATGGAATCTCTCTTCTTCACATTCCTTATGATCTCCATAGCTTCGTCAATGACAGCATTATCAGAAGTTGTTCTACTAGTCCTTCTTGTCCTGCTAGCGGCTCTTCTACCGTAGGGTGGTGTAGACGTATCCCTGTCCGTTAAAACGACTTCGGGTTCTGCTTTTCTTTCTGCTTCTGCTTCTGCTTCCGTTTCTGTTTCCCTTTTCGTTTTCACTACCACTTCCACTTCAGCATCCGCATCCGCATCCGCATCCGCATCCGCATCCGCATCCGCATCCGCATCCGCATCCGCATCCGCATCCGCATCCGCATTTGCGATGAAATGTTGTACATTTGAATCATCTTTCTGTTTATTTTAGAATAATTACAACCCGAATATTAGATATTGCACACATTCTTTTGGTAAAGTCATATGATACAAGAATTACAATGTAAATTAAAAAAAAAGATCAATAGACCAACGTAACTAATTTCAGATGCCATGAGGTAAATAGTGAAGTAAAACGTAATAATACTATGAAACGTAATTGGCAAAGGTTTAAAGATTCATTAAAATATATTTAGCTTTTAAAATTTCTATGTTTATTTTTTGCCTCAATGTCCAATATTTATACAGCGTCGCCCCACTGTGTGGCGTCAGGGGAAGTCATTCGTAAGAAATTCATGGACTATTTTATGCAAGAAGGTCGCCTTTCAAGAAGAAGGTATGTAATAACGAAGACACTCACGATAGTAGTCGAAAAGATCTTTGTCACTGTACGTTTTCTGTCGTTTAAAAACTCCAGGCTTTTGAAAGCAAACCACTTGCTTTTGTAAACATCATTGATACCTATCATATAAACGTACATAAATTATTAAGTTGAAATGATCAAACTATTGTACATTAAAATACCACAAGTAGTAAATGACTCATAGAAAGTGTCCCAAAAATGTTGGAGGTCCTTGGGAGGGGTTCGGGGACGATTTGAAACAACTTTTTCCTTAGCGAAAATGTTGTCCGACGCTTCGGTGAGGAGATATTAATAAAAAACCCCGAACAATCAGAGTGCGGCAGCGACGCCACTGCGGGTGCTCCACTGGTATACTCGCGCTCTGATTGGTCGTAGTTTTCTGTTAATATCTCCTTAACGAAGCCTCGGACAACATTTTCGTTATGGAAAAAGTTGTTTCAAATCGCCCCTAGAACCACGTCTTTCAAGGACCTCTAACATTTTTGAGACACCCTGTATATTTTCAACAATTAGGCTGCAATATCCTTATATGTCATGTTACAATTAAATTCGTACAACAAATTTACTTACAAAAAGAATTGACGGTATTAATCACCACCATTGGGCCATTTCCCCCCAAATCTGGCAATTTTTAGAGAAAGCTACATATTCTTATAATTGATTGCGTACCAAAGGATCAAAATTTTGAAAAATACTTTGGGGTACACGTTTAAATCTCACTAAAGACTACAACATATTCAAATTTCAGCGATCTACGAAAACTTCCATCAAAAACTATCCGATTTCACGGGGAATAATCTATATTTAAGGGATAAAACCACTCTAGGATTTTCAAAAAATCGATTTTTTTTTGTTGCTTAAACGATACTTTAGGGTCATGAAAATAATACGTCATTTGATTTATAGTGAAAAACAAATGTTAAAAGGTTCAATTATCGATTTTGCCGCAGCGCCACACAGCGCGATTAAAGTGTTTATAAAACTTTAAACGCGTTTTTCTCGAAACCAGTTTTTTCAATACTGGAAGGACGGATTTCTCAGTGACTATTAGATGGATCGATTTGAAATTTTTACAATAGTTTCACAACAATATTCTCTTTGGAAGTACGTAGCCGTTTTTTGATTGAATGTAAACTATTTTCTTTATAAACAATTTAATGCTCATTTTTAGGGCAAAAAGTCGATTCATTGCTTAAAACGTGCGCCACTTCCACAAAAATTGATTAAAAAGAAAAACCCTACGTACTTCCAAAGCCAATTGTATAAACAGTGGGTGTAGATAGTATTCGTACACCGATCAATTTCCAAAAAAACGATGTGAATTGTAACTTATTAACTTATTTTTTATAAACAATGATATTCTACATATTTTTGGAAATGTCTAGAGTAGATACAGTACGAAAAGATTAGGTATTTTGTATAAGTGAGAAATCAACAAGAAAAAACAATATATCGATAGAAATACAGAAGCAATAAGTATTCGTACAAGTGTTAAATATTTAAACCTTCATTTAAAAAAAAAAACGAAATTTACATTAATTTACAAATAATTAATACTTCGTGGGATTTCCTTTTGATTTTATAATTACTGCAATTCTTCTAGGCATTAAATTAACTATCATGAATGTCGATGTTATTCGAAGTGAGATCTTGTTTCATTCCTTTTTTACAGCATTTTTTAAGTCTTTTTTACTGGAAATTTAATGTTTTCTAATTCCCACGAAGCAATAAACTGATGCACTTATTGTTACAAATTCTACTGTAAATTGTTCGTGAATTTTTCGTATTTTTTTGTTAATTTCGCAAATTATATAAACTAGTAATTGTTGTTTGAACTATATTCTAGAGATTTCCGAGAATATGTGGAATATCATTATTTAAAAAAAAAGCAGTTAATAAACTACAATTTTACACAAAAGTATTTTGAGGAAATTGATGAATGTACGAATACATTCTACACCTACTGTAGATTATAAATTTTCTTTAGTTTTTGTTCCATAACTCATAGATGTCGAGAAATCCGTCTCCCGTGACGGTGTTTTCAAAAAAGCTGTTTTCGACGACGGGCTCTGTAGCCGCCATTTTGTATGAAAATGACAATAAAAAAATTGTTTCTCGTTCTTCAATATGTGTTAAATAAACCCTCTGAAAAGAAATTCTATTCCATTTGTCACACACCCAAAATAAATTGTCAAATTTAGGTCTTTTTTTCTGCCTCTGGAGTGGTTTTACCCCTTAAGCGTATGTACGAATATTAAATTGTACTTGCCTCTTCCAGCCCCGCTAGATTTCTTCACCTTCCCCCTTTCCCGTCTGAACGACGCCAGTAACGATACCATTTTCGTATAACATATGTCAACTGGAACTTCTAGTCTCTCTGCAATTTCGCGCCATCCGTCGCATTTCAAATTCTTTATATGGTACAGGTTCGACTGGGGGTTCCATAACTCCTCCCGCTTTCTGTACAACTCAATTAGTTCAAGACATTTCTCCTTGCTCCACACGTATTTTACCCTTCGATTTTCACTAGCCATTTTCGACTAACTTCACTCACTACCGATGTACTTCTAAGCTGGCGGTGCGATTTTTACTTGTCTATATACCCTCGCCCGAATACCGTCCCAATATGTCACCTAAGGCTGGTTTTCCACTCGTGTAACGGGCAGGTTCTGTAATAAATTGTCTGTGGTTGCCGAATTTTGTCCGAAAACACGTTCCTACTAGCGAGAAAAAGGTCGCTAAATGCGACGACGAACGGTTGGAACCACTTAAAAGGGTCGATTTTTACGAGCGTTTGGGTCTCGACCCATGCTCTAGGCTCGCGAGCACGGGGACTATTCACGTCGACAGGCTCGCTGTCACAGTCGAGACCGTGCCACGCGAGCCTGGATCGAACGCTCAAAAAAATCGACCTTTTCGAGTGGTTCGAAGCGAGACTCCCAATACTTGTATTCACCGAGACCGTAGGCGCCTACCTGGGTTCGCCCAAGGGTCTGGGGTCAAACGGGCGATCGACTCATCAGTTTTTGATAAAATCGAATTCTTTATTCTTCATCGTAGCAACGTGAACGCGATGCCATTGGATTCTTGGTGTTCTCCCGATTAAAATGATATCTCACGTCGCGTAAATCGAACTATTTTTAACGAAATAACTTTTCAATTATGCAATCAGATTTTGCATATAATTTCGTTAAAAATAGTCCGATTTACGCGATGTGAGATATCATTTTGATCGTAGAAGCAATAGGAATCGATTGAAGTTACTTCCACAAAGTTCTGATAAAAATTGTCGAGGTTGGTATTTTCAATTCTTTATGGCATCCCTTTGCCGACCGCCCGCGGCGGCGACAGCGATGATGGTGCGTGGCCTTTTTCAGAATTCCGTGCTCGTTTCGGTGTTCCCGGCTCGCTGTTCTAGCTCGCCTGGGTCCTTCAGACAGTCCGGCTACGCCGGAGAATGGGAAGTCTACAGTAACAATAGTTATAAACAGTAAGTAATTTATACATTTTCTACATGGGAACATCATGAAATCATCTCGATTGGTTACTCGTTACCGAGTTTGATCATAAAATAGGAATTTTACAATAACAATAGTTATAAACATTTAAAAGGACCATAATTTATATCTACAGTACACGTCAATATGCACAAATATACACTTCCTTACTTCTGTATAAATTTGTTTATATTATACCTATTTAACTATGTGTAATTATGTATAACTATACTTTACAACCGCCGACTAAACAGTAAACACCGCTTGAAAAGTTATTCGATCCTTATCCGATAATTTCGGATAAAGATAAAAGTTAGAAAGTTATCCCACGCGGCGAGTGAAACTTCAGTTAAAGATACAAATACGAAAATAACCTACGGGTGAATATCTCTGGAGAGAAACCAGGCAACTCTAGCCATCGAATAAAGATACAAATGCGGAAAAGTATCTTAAGGTTAAAACTCTCGGGGAGAAGCCAGGTATCTCTAGCGGTCAGTTAAAGTTAAAAAGGGGAAAACTACCCAACGAGTGAAACTCTCTGCAGTTAAAGCAGGTATCTTTACCCATTCGATAAAGTTAAAAGTGCGAAAAGTATCTTACGATTGAAAGTTTCTGCAGATAAGGCAGGTATCTTTAATCTTCGGATAAAAATAATTTAAGTTATCTTTATCCTTTGAGTACATTTACCTCGAATACATTTTTTATCTGGCAGTCATCGAATAAAGATAAAATTATGTATTTTTATTCGACGAGTAATAGATAAAAAATTTTCATCTTTATTCGATATTTGAAATTTTTATTTAGATAAAGATTTTGCCCATCTCTGCAATTGGAACGCAACTTATATCATGATGTGTATTGTAGCGCGGCCAATTCGGAAAATTTCGTTTTTGGGAAACAGAAATGGGCAAAACCCTAGGTTTCGAATAAATCTCAAGTTTGTCGATGTGTTTGTCGCGTTTTCTCTTTTGAACATTTTCCAAAGAAAGAAACAAGACAAACACACCGGAAAACTTCAGATTTATTCGAAGCCTAGGGTTTTGCCCATCTCTGCCTGTGAGACAGAGGGATGCCCCGTTTTTTCACCTTAGGAAACCCTAACGAAATTCCGACCTAGCGACACAAAGTGAAAGAGAGCTATTGCTCTATATTGATAAGGTTTTTAATTGTCGAATAAATTATTATTTAAAACATAACCACCGGTGAACAGATAATTTCTGTGTTGAGCGTACCTTTATTTATAACGCGCGCCCCCATGTATTTGCTAACGTGAAGCCATCTAGCGAACGTATGAAATAACTATAAAGACGTCTATGGAAATAACGCCATTCCTTTTCTTCCTTCTATTGCTAATAAATGGTTTGCTGTAATTCAAATTGTCCATATCGATTGTAGCAAAAAAACATTGAAATTACAGTTAAATTTGTAATTCGAACGAAATGAAACAAGTGTGTAAAGATGTGGTGTTAAAAAAATGAATGTAAATTGAAGTTGTAATTTGTTGCCAAACTTAATTTTTAAGTAAATAATTTATTTAAATAATATAAATTAAGAAATATATTTTGTCCAAGTTCGTGTAGTATTTATTAAAAATGTTTATTGATAATCTAATGCGCGTTTTAAGTTTAAACATTTCGGGCAAAAGTGCTAAAGTGTTCAAGACAGTTTCAGTGATTCATAATAGTAATAGATTTCAATATCAAATTCCAAGGAGATTTACAAGTTTTTCTTATGGAAGAGAGAAACGCAAAGAGCGTTACTTATACTTGCCATTTTTCATCCCGATTTGTGCCGTAATAAGCTTCATTTATTGGACAAAGTAAGTTATTTATTATCATGCATTTATCGTTCACCATTTGAATAGTTTATCACAGAAAAAAAAAATAAATATATACAATAGATTTACTTTTTGTGAATCTGAAATTGTGGAGACCATATAATGCAAAATTATGACTATATATCAATGAAAACAATTATATTCCTTTTTAATGTTAGTGAAAAGGAATTTATAAATTAAGTATATAAAATCTTTTAAAATCAATGAAGAATCAGACTTGTGGATTTCACGAACACTGTAGGACTTGAATCGATCAGGTCATTCTTTATAATTTCTATTTTATTGTACAAGGTTCAATCGAATCAAATGGTTGTAGTATAACAATATTCTTCACATATACATTGTTAAAAGCAAAAACTAGATAATTACATGATACATGATAATTAATTGATATATTTCCAACCATAACTAACATGTTAAGCGCTCAAGTGGTGACACTCGGTTACCATCTAACTTGATATATTAACTCAAGAGATGACTCTCAGTCATCACTAAGTTTCAAAATGTTTATTTATGTTTAATTTCTATGAAACTTGAACTGTCAGTACAATCATTGCCTGTCACACATCTTTGTCTATCATACATCCTTTTTATTTAGATTACACATCAAATTATGTTAGGTGGTCAAAAAAGTTACGAAACATTCTATAATGTCGAAATTCAAAAGCAATATCATGCATTGATATGATAATTAATTTTGTTTTTATATGTTTGTTATACTCTATTAATGCTGGCCATTTCACAAGAAAACACATTCACATGACCTGACACTGCCCTTATAGTTTCCCATATCTCTATTTTTTTTTTTATAGTTTTATTGTTATCAATCTTGCTTGTACCTTTAATTACTTAGTAATTTTCCACTCTCTATGGTATCTTTTCCACTTCTATAAGCTAAAAATATGTGTCATAATTATCAACTTTTTTAATAAACTTTGTTTCAGTTTGAGAAAAAAATATTTATCTACTGTGAATGCAGCAGAAATTATGTCCGAAGAAGAGCATGATGATGATGAGAAAAATGATAGCTTGAGCCCTATGCAAGAAGATCAAAGCAAAAAGACAAAAGAAAAAGTCGGTTTTCGAGTTCAAAGGGTTAGTATCAAGATAATGCTTCTTTTTTACTTTATATTTAACTTTTATATTTATTAAAGTAATTAACTTTGAAACACTGTTTCCAAGCCTAAAATACGTCATTAAAGGTTATTTCTACTGTAGATACACAAAAGATATTAAATATTGAATAAAACTATTAAATAGATATTAAATTCATATTGACTAATCGCTTTACTATACAGAGTGAGTCATTTAAGATTTCTTCTTAAAATATTTTTATTACTTTTAAGGATACAAAGATATGTCTCAATAGGTATGTCTCAAGACATACAGTGAATGTCAATTAAAATCGTATACCTTTTCATAACACATTAAAATCGTACTTACTGACTGAAAACTGTATACTACCATAGAATCTAATGTTCTTTTATTTGATACGTTACAAAAATATTACAGAAATTATAGTAATGTTTAATCAATTAAATCAAATTTCCGATTACATAAGAAACTTAGCGATCAATAAACATCATACACAAGAAATTAGATATTATTAGATCTAACACAAAATCGAACACAAAATTCATGTTTCTCTTTTAGCATTTTCGCTTCTATTTTTAAGTATTTTTTATTTTCATGTGATTTAAGTTTGACAGATGTTTTGACGAGTCAATAAATTGTCATGAATTGTCGATACTTGTCATTACTTTGTTTGTACTAAATTAACGCAACTAAATGCTCATTCATGGAGAGCATTAGAATGAGGTAAAGAAAAAAAGGTAAACCTTTCGTTTACGGGAGGCAGCTCCGATGACTTAGACGTTGACATATAATATGTTTCAAGGTCAACCTCCTGAGTAACATCTAAGAGGTTTTAGCCGTCGCTCGTTTTCTATATCCTTCCCCTAAACATAAGATTTATCAAAAATATATTTAGAATGAATGATGCGACGTTTTCAGAATTAAATTATCCTACATTTTAATTATGAAATAGTATCAAAAATTTATCTATAGGACCGTTTGTATTAATTTTTCCATCTTTAAATACATAGTTTGATAGCAAGCATCCATTCATTATCAGTTGACCATATATTTTCTTATCGGTGCGTCTCTTAAAATTACTAAAATAATTTCATAATGATGGAACTTGATTGAATGATTTGGCTTCTCTAGGCTTAAATACATAAAGCTTTTGTCGGAAATTATTTTTAAAATCAAATCTTGTTTTTATTTTCTGGCAGAATTTTAATACAAACTCAAAATATTTTTGTCAAAAGAAATTTTTCACTGCGATTCCATAGACGAATCTTTAATATAACATTCTTATTTACATACGGATGTTTCAGAAAATAATAGAAGTTATTTTATGTTCATTAATTTTCTATTATTGGGGATTGGATGATATATTAGTAATAAATGATTGCAGATTACTGAGTATGAAAATCGTTTGAGAGCATATTCGACTCCCGACAAAATTTTTCGTTATTTTGCGACCGTTAAAGTGTCAAGCTTAGAAGGTACTGAAGTTTTCATGACACCTGATGATTTTCTCCGAGCCATTACTCCCGGCATGAAACAACCAGATGGTATTATTTTATTCATTTTTATGCTATATTTGTTTTTTGTCACCACTACGATCTGATTAACATTAATCTTTTGTTTAAGTTGAATTTAATTTTAATAGAAATTAATTTTTCTTGCATCCTGCTTAACATTATGACGAGTTTGACCGTTTGTTTGAACATTTAGTTGTTTATTGAACATACAATGCGATTCACGAAAATCTGAACAGTCGTGACATTCGACAAAGGTATAAAAGATGTTACAGCATGTGATTATTCGCGACTTTAAATTAGTATACAACGATATAATATTTCATATAATGAACGTTTCTTTATGCTGAACTATATGCTCGTCACTAATATGCTTGATATTAAATCACAATGTTGTTGGTTATTTGTATTTGTCACGAGAGATGTGTTAATATTTTCACTAATATCTTCTTTACATCTTTTCGTGTGAAGCACAGAAGTATGCGAAGTTATCCTTTTTCAACAAATTATAATTTTCGAACTAGGCTGCGAATGAAAATGAGTTTTCGCAGGTTGACAAATACCGAAGTACTAGACCAGGGGTGGCCAAGCTATAGCACACTATGTGGCAATTTTTTTCACAGAATCAGTTCCACCATACAATTCAAGCACCTTTTCTATCTTCTTATGTTCATGGTTAAGATAAAAAAAAAGGATAGGTGTAGGATCTTCATCGCTTAGGGGCGGAAAAGGAATAACTCAATCACGCAACTAAATTAATTAATTTACGCCAGTTCAAAACACACATCGTTATTGGATTACTAATCTACAATTGCCAGAAATGATATTTTGTCCGAAAGGGTGATCGTTGATGTGGACCTCGCTGATGGTGCTAAAATTCTAAACTGACAAAAAAATACTTCAAAAGAATACATAAACCCAAGAATGTATTGTGCCAGGGGTTGGTCACCCCTGTACTAGACAATAGCAATATACTACAGAGTGAAAGACATAAAAGTACCAAATAAAAATAATTTCAGTTTAAACAAAAATTTTGTTAAACATTCCAAAAAAAATTGTTTTAATTGTTTTCTCTTCTTTATGGAAGAATTTCCAAAAAGATAGAGAGATTTAAATTCACTGAATAAAAATTAATTTAAGCGGTTTGTTAATCGTATCGCGCAAACGAAGTAGCAAATCGTTGAAATCTAAGACAAAAGTGGCACAAAGACAGAACTACGATAAACGATACATGGATTCGCATTAGCAAGATTATGGGGACACCAGTACCAGAAATGTAAAGAAAAAGGATTCTTTATTAGCGTCATTTAGACATCACTTAAGGCGCCTGGCCACTCTGAGCGCTCGCCAGATGGGTACTATTTTCAAAAAAAAAATTAATTAAAAAATTAATCAAGTAATCGAAAAAATCTATTGCTATTCTTCAGATAATGTATCTAAACGTAGCGTGTACAAATTTCAGAGCAATCGGACCGCACGTTTACTTTTCTTTTGGGATTATCTCGAAACTACATTTTTCGAAATGGTACAACGTAAATCTCGTAAACTATCGGTCCGATTGCTCTGAAATGTGTACACACTGCTTTTAGATACATTATCTGAAGAGTAGCAATGGATTTTTGCGATTACTTGATTATTTTTTTTTTAGAGAAACAATCCTCCAGAAACAATCTAATATTTTTTTTTTCTTTTTCACATGCAATCTAAAGAATATAATGATGGCACAATCCACGCGCGTTTCGTGCTGAAGGCCTTCACCAAAATTTTCGAACAGCCGCCATTTTTTTTTTATTATTTCAAAAAATTTTTCATGTGTTCATTAAATCGTTCTTTAGTATGTGTCAAAACATACAAATATTTTTTTCTATACTTTCGCATTTATGAATTTTTTAAGAATAGTACCCATCTGGCGAGGGCTCATAGCGTGAAAATCATAGCTATATTCAAAATTTGTTTTTTCGAGAACAATTGAGTCAATAGAACTTTTTAATGGGATTTATTATACATAATATTTAAACAATATTTATTACAAATTAATTACTTGCTGCTGTATTTTCTAAGCTACATGCATATTATATACTATATGTATACGTACATATTTATGCAGTTAATTCAGTTTTTGTATTTCATACCAATGAGATAAAGTATTTACTACAGAGATATAAAATAAAAAAGCAGTAGAAAAGAGCATGAAAAATATTTGAAATATACTTAGATCGTTCGAATCGTTCAATTCTCTCAAACCGCTTGCTGCAATCCGAGTTACTCGGTTCTTTCGAGGCGCTCACTTCGGTCCGAGTTACTCAGTCCTTTCGAGCTATTCGCTTCGGTTCGAGCTACTCGAAAGTTTCGAGCCGCTCGTTGCTTTCGAGTACTCGGCTCGGATTGGTCATTCGATCCTGAGTAAAACTCAGCTCGCCTTTTTCGAGAACTCGAACAGCTCTACGTTTAAAATTTTTTTCATTCACGACCCCATTTATGATTGCGATCTTTTTCGCAACCCAAAAAATATAAAATAAAGATATATAAATATCTTGTGATGATTTATTGATTAAATAACAATATATATACATAAAAAGAATGTAGTTGTAGAATTTGTTTAAAAACATACAAAAATATGATATTAAAAATTGCACAAAATATTTAAAGATTGTATTTATTATAGTTACAAAAAATATACAGCCTATCTTTTATCAAAACTGCATTTTTTGAAATAACATATATAAAAGAGAATATTAAATATTTTACATTAAAATCTCGCGACCCCGAAATTTCCTCCATTTGGGGTCGCGACCCATAGTTTAAGAAGCCCTGTTCTAAAGAATATATTATCATTATTATTCAAAGTATAAGCTGGTTTTTATCCATGCAAGATTTATAGCTTGAGCAAAATCTTTGTTTTAAAAATATATTATTTATGCTGATATGTTCAATGTTTTATGGACACCTTCGTTCGTAAATTTTACAAAGACGTTATACCTTTTATTACGTATACGTCTGTTTTCTTGAATTCAATCTCATTGTCAGACCACTTCTGGCCATATCATAGTTTCGAACACAATTTCAGTTTTAATTGTTACAAGACAACACAAAATTACAAGAGCATCTCAGAGCATTATTTCTGAAATGCTTGCAGCTTTACAGAACAGTTTCTGGCCGAGGAAACAAAGCTACATACGTATTAGAATAAAAGCACTTTTACCTTTGTTAGTATTGTGGAAAAAATGAAACAGATCCATTTTTTTTTTAAACGTATTAAAGTCATCAATTCTTAAATATGTTCATAACTTTTCAATGAACCATTGTATTGTATCAGTTATATGTTAAATGTTTAAATTATAAGTAGCTCTAATTAAATTTAATAATTTTAACACGTTCGTTGCGAGTCGGAAAATAAGACTTCGGCATTGTTTAAATTTCAATTAACTAATTTTAATGTGGTTGGGTTCTTTTGACGTATAGACGTCAGAATTTGACGTGTAGAATTTCTTTCGAGAGGTAAATTTACTTCCTTCGACAAAGAGGAAATAGGACATTTATAATAACTTTGTGGAACAACATTACAAGAAATAAAAATTAACATATATTAACTTTTTTTGGAAACCAATACTAAAAAACATTCTAAAGATATTGTGAATAATACCAATGAATACAATCTTAATTACTCTATGGTTATCTATATGCAGAAATTTTATGATAAATTTATAGTATAATATCTTTATCATAACTCGATCGGTATGTATTTTATATCTAATTTAATTGTTTTATAACAAACACGTATACTTATATAATTCATAAATGAACTATAGTCTCTAGTGATGCGCACGAGACGAGATAAATCACGATCTCATCACGATCTCGTCTCGATTTCGAGATGGGATTCGAGATCGAGATTCCTTGTAACATATCGAGATCTGGATGAGTTCAAGATTATTTCAAATTCTCGTCGAGATCTCGACAAAATGTTTTGTTATATTGCGGATCGGCAACACATATGACGCTGTGATTGCTGCGCTAACAAACTATGCCACATTCAACAAGCTGGTTAAAATAAATTACTTAAACATTATGATAAATGTAAGTGGATCTATTGTATTTGCCTCGTGTTAGATCCGAGGCACAAAATTGAAAGTTTTAATGCCACAATCTGGGGGAAAGAAATGAAAGATCGGAGTGTTAACAAATTTGAAGACTTATATAAGAACAAATATTTTATTCCTTCAGATAGTTCTCTAAACCAGTGCTCGGAATTACTTGTACAATTCCTTGCGCAGTCAGTATTTTTTGTTTTCACAGATAATTAAAGTTATTAATATTATGTTTAGATCTATAAACATCTTCTATATATACATATAATAACAATAATATAAAATAGGTGAGATAAACTTACTTCATCCGATGGACGAGCGAAGTCTAAGGAGGCACATTTATTTCCTTCGCAACGAACATGTTAAAATACGATATTGTTGTCTCTAATTAAATACATAACAAATGTTTGCAATACAGATAATAGGATATGAAAATCGCATAAGGAATTATTCTACACCTGACAAAGTATTTCGATATTTTGCTACACTCCAAGTGATCAACAATGACATCCATGAAATCTTCATGACACCCGATGACTTCTTGAGATCCATAACGCCTGGTGTTAGACAACCAGATGGTAACATTTTTAAAAATGTAATATATATTGTGTGTATATATATACAGTCGATTCCACTTGATTGGGACACTTCGGGATCAGAACAATTTGCTCCCATTGAGCGGCTATCTTCTTTGACGTCTCGTGTAAAAAACGTCCTGAATTTCTTCTTAAATTCTTCAGTAAAACTGTATTTTAACAAATTCTACCTTAGATGTGTCTATAAATGGGAAATAGTTTCCCATATATAGAGATTTTAGATCAAACTCAGCAACAAGTGAAATTTTAATCTTTATTAAACAAACCAGTACAACACCAAGTACCAGTAATCCTGTTAAGTTTAAGTCAGCATTCTACTCGAATCGACAGTAGTACAGGTAGAATTTTATTATTATTATGTTTAGTTTATTGTAAGCCAGCGTATATTATACATCGTGCCCCTATATCGTATACGTATATGATAAATTTATTCTTTGTACTCTTATTCTGTCTTTACCCAACATTTACAAATATCTTTATAAATAAAAATCTATCTTACAAAACTTATGGAGCATCTTTTCGTTTAGTAATATGGCAATTCGCTGCACCAAGAGTACTTGGAAAAATGAGTGGATAGTATAACCAGGATATACTAAGCAGTCTAGTAGTAATTAAATTAATAGCAAGTTATTTTATTTAATTATGTTACGGCGCCGGCGTACACGCTCTTGTGAGACACACTGTAGCAGACTGGTTTCAAGTTCTATTCCAACTTATTTCTTATTTTTCATGATTATATACATCTCTCGAAGGGTTGATATCATTTATTCCGATTAAACGACACGGTAATCCAAGTAACCGAAGCTAATTTTGGATAGTTTTTTTTATTTCGCTATTTGAGATTTATCCTAAATAATCAGCTGGAGGAATTAACTAATGGTCAAACAACAGGCATCTTCTGTATGTATATATACGTATACATTGACTCACAAATTCGTCCACATGTGCCCAATGTCTTATCTCATGGTTATAGATATATTTTTCGTGTTAGACCTACAAAAGTTTCGCAAACATATGCATATTTTTTTTTTTAATCAATGATATTTTACATACTCTTGGACATAATTGGACAATAACAATAGATAAATAAACATTTAAAAAGAGCATAATTTATATCTACAGTACACGTCAATATGCACAAATATACACTTCCTTACTTCTGTATAAATTTGTTTATATTATATCTATTTAACTATGTGTAATTATGTATAACTATACTTTACAACCACCGACTAAACAGTAAACACCGCTTGAAAAGTTATTCGATCCTTATCCGATAATTTCGGATAAAGATAAAAGTTAGAAAGTTATCCCACGCGGCGAGTGAAACTTCAGTTAAAGATACAAATACGAAAATAACCTACGGGTGAATATCTCTGGAGAGAAACCAGGCAACTCTAGCCATCGAATAAAGATACAAATGCGGAAAAGTATCTTAGGGTTAAAACTCTCGGGGAGAAGCCAGGTATCTCTAGCGGTCAGTTAAAGTTAAAAAGGGGAAAACTACCCAACGAGTGAAACTCTCTGCAGTTAAAGCAGGTATCTTTACCCATTCGATAAAGTTAAAAGTGCGAAAAGTATCTTACGATTGAAAGTTTCTGCAGATAAGGCAGGTATCTTTAACCTTCGGATAAAAATAATTTAAGTTATCTTTATCCTTTGAGTACATTTACCTCGAATACATTTTTTATCTGGCAGTCATCGAATAAAGATAAAGTTATGTATCTTTATTCGATTTTCTATTTAAATAATTTTTTATCTAAATAATGCCCATCTCTGGTGAGCGCCCTAGTCCCTTTGCCCTGATCCCCTTCAGTTTCTCGACACTCGGAAATTTAATGTGGCACCACTGTACTATTCATTATGGAAAATGCCACTTGATTATTTTGCGAAGTATCGAATAGTATGAAATATTGATATACTCTATCAATATCCTTCGTGAAAGTATTATACAGGGTGTAGCAGGACGGGTGGTACAACCCAACAGGGGGTGATACTACATGTAAAAATAAGTCGAAAAAAAGGAATAACATTTTTTCGTTTGACGCTTCGTTTTCGAGAGAATCGAGTTTTAAAATTCCCACTGTTGGGTTGTACCACCCGTCCTGCTACACCCTGTATTTGTCGATACGAATAGGCTTTGATTTATATTCCACTATCTCGATATACATATTTTATCAAATGTGTTATCATCATGAATCAAAGTCCCCTGTTTACCCTGATAGTTAAACATACCACTAATGCCCTAAATTCGATAAATTTACAGTAATTTTTTTCGTTATTATAATAATTATCGTGATATACATCGTGTCACTGATCAAGGTACGGTTGTAATACAGAAAATCAAAAATTTTCGAAATTTTAGCCTTCCTCTTCTTTTATTTCAGATAAAAGTGTTCAGTATTTTTAATTTATATAATTATTTTTAGGACTTGGATTAGACAAGTATAAAAGATACGATCCAAAGGTGAGTTAACTATTGAGAACTCTTACTCTTATTCTAAATCTATTATTGTCCCCTGCTAGACTATTTGTTCTGCTTAACATTTTTGGATATCCCAAAAAAATCAAGTTCTACCATTTTCTTTGCTACATTCTTGTTTTTCTTTATTAAATTCATTCGAGAAAATAATTCGCGCGATATAGTGTTGAACTGCAGGAAATTGTGGAAAGATACTTATTTTTTTCGGATCTCGATCTTAGTCGTAGTTTTTCTTCGGATTTTGTTCAGATCATTTTTTTTAAGTAGTTATTGACACATTGTAAATAAACAATGCAAGACATATCGAGAATCTTGTAATGACATACATACACAATTACACATGTATACATATTTTGATGATAGTGATATATGTTGTAGTCCATATGAAACCTGATGGAAGGATGAAATCATTTTTTTCTAGTCTTACAATTGTTTAACAATACAAGCCGTTAAAAATATAATTCCTATTAAAGTACGAAATCATTAGGTCCATTTTAGAAAACTTTTTATATAATAGTCATACATAACATAATTAATATGTATAATAATCTTCTATACAGAATGTTCATACGAAATTAGAATTGGCTTTGGACGAAGACAGTATTTTTTATAAACTTGGGAGTGCTGGCTTAATCACTTTCTCTGATTATATATTTCTTCTTACCGTATTATCTAGTGAGTAATATTTATATAATTGTTTATTAATTTGCTGGCATAAGAGATATTTAATAAGACGAAGAAGCTTTATTTCTTTAATGGATTGTGATAGTATTAAAAAAATATTATGCACAATTTACATTTTACGTATTTCTTTTTATAGCTTCTAGAAGACATTTTGAAATTGCCTTCAGAATGTTCGATTTTAATGGTGATGGCGATGTGGACTCTGACGAATTTGGTAAAGTTGCTACCTTGATACGACAGCAAACTAGTATTGGAAGTCGACATCGCGATCATGTTACTACTGGTAATATGTTCAAGGTACTGAAGATTATTTTTATTTTTTTATTAGTTCAGATTTAGAGGGAGTATGATATTTACTACTTACTGCGATTCTAGTCACTATACTAACTGATTATATTAGGTTGGTGCAAAAATAATCTCGTTTTTTGTATTATTCAACTTAAGTATTTGATATTGCTTAATAATAAGATAAATTCTGGTTTTATTTTTTATGTTAAGATTGACAGAGAAGATGGTAAAAATTCGTAAAAAATAATTAACCCATAATATGATACAAACCTGGTTATAAGTCAATATATTTAAAAACCAAATTAGATTTTTTACATACAGGGTGTTTTATTTAAATTAGAATGACAAAATATCTCAAGAGCGAATGAATCTATAAAAAATATGCTTTTATAAAAATTATATGGTACAAAAGAGCATTAATTAAATTACATAGGCTAAATAATTTTGTTGTAAGTGGAGTCGTGGGGGAAATTTAACAAACAAATTATTTTTTTTAATGGAATATTATATATTCTTATTTCTAAGAATACTAAATAATAATTTATTTATTTATTGTTGCATCAGCTTGTAAGGCATTAGTGGCCACTGTGAATTACATTTTCTACACTTATGTCCATATGTGAGTCATAAATGATTTACACAGATAATTACTTATGTTTAGAAAACTAATTTCTTACATCCAGCAATAATTATAAATAATATTTAGAATTCACAATTTTTTTTTAGGGGGTTGTAGTGTCCTGTTAATTTCTTGTTTATATTTATTCGGATCTTTTTCCTTTGTAAATATGATATAATTTTTAATGTGTATTTCTTGTCTTCTAACATACGTTTAATTGTAATTTTTCGATTGTAGTATGTGCAGTATAGAGGATTTTTTTTTGTAATTAGATGGCTATGAGTTAGTCTTGCGTGACCTACAATGTATACAATAATTTCTTCCAAGAACGAATTTTATGATAATTATGATATTTGCGCGAACTTCCTTGTACCGTATAAATGTCTTTATTACACAAACTATACTATACAAAAAAGTCGCTTTCGTGTAGACAGCGCTTTAGAGATTAATCCGTGCAATTTTGTTTAGTACCGGTTCTGTAAGTTCTTTTAAGGTGTAACAGAAGCGGACAATTTAAACTTTTTCGAATCAAACTTTTGTTTTGATAACTTCCACAAGTCAATATTTTTGTTATACTCAAATACTATAGAAAACTAAAAACAACGAATTCTCTAATTAATGTTTTTTTTTTAAATCTAAAGTTGAACATTTCGTCGATAAAAGTTAAAGAATAAAAATTCTTTTTGATCAAATAATTGAAATATATTATTTGTCATGTAGTTATATGTATTTATCGATAGTCTTATTTACAATTACTGCATTTGACATTCTCGGTTTTATTATTGATAATTTAATTTATTGCATTCCATATACTCATATAGGGTGTTAATTCCGCATTAACTACATACTTCTTCGGGCCAAACATGAAAGGAAAGCTGACTATTGAGAAATTCTTGGAGTTTCAGCAGCAATTGCAAAAAGAAATACTCAGCCTGGAGGTAAGTTTAATTTAAATATTTAATTATTCACTAAAATCTATGAGTGCAGATTATTGAATAAAATTACTTTTTTTTACAAACATTATACGTATACTGCTCATGAAAATTAAATATTAATAATATATTAAGTTTATGGAATAGCATGCATCAATTTAAATAATTATTTTGCAATTTCGGTAACCTTATTTTATTAGTAAGTCTTATTTTACATAACCAAGTGATGTATGGATAATATGTAAGACAATCACGTTGAATTTCCTACTCATTATCCACGTAATAAATTGATATAATAAGAATTATCACTAGTAAGCGTAAATATGTAATTTTTATTTTTAATGGTATTATTTATAATATTAACAAGATATTAATAAGATATGCAATCGATACAGAGGCGCTTCTATAGTACAATAGTTTTCTTCGGGTGCTTATATCGGTTAAAGATGTAATAATGCTTTGTTGAGAGTGGGCCTTTGGGAGTTTATGCAGAAGATATTCGCCCGTCTATTAATTTCAGGGCTATAGTTTTTGAAATTTTTAAAAATCCTTTGAGATACGTTTAAGTATCACTTATTACTAAAGACTGCAACATACTCAAATTTGTACAAAATCCGAGGTGCTGTTTCATTTAGTGTCCGATTTCGCGTAGGATGACTTATAAGACAGTATACTAAAGTTCGGTATGGTTAAACCTTCAATTCTGATCTGATCGGCAGAGAGATCAGACGTTTCATTGATTCGTGTAAAAAGAAAAAGCATTATCACTACGTTTGCTTTAAAGCGTTATAATAAAATCGTATTAAATGAGTGTGATAATAAAATAAAAATTATTGTAAGAAGGTGTGGTAGCTTGACCGATGGGACGTTAAGTTAAGACCTTCAGTTATTCCTTTATAAATAGTACTAATTAATATTTAAAATGATCATCACCAATTGTTTTAAAAGTCATACAAAAAGAGATATAATTAAATGTAACAAAATTGTTACAGTTCGAGAGAAGAAATCCCGATGAGAATGGTAAAATAACAGAAGTAGATTTCACAGAATTATTGTTAGCATACGCTGGATACCCTGCCAAGAAAAAAGAAAGAATTTTAAAGACCATAAAGAAACGGTGAGTAGCTGCGTGTATATCATTAAAGGGTCTAAACAATTTTTTGATATTAATTAATTAAGTGGGTAAAAAAGTTCTAAGCTTTAATTTGCAAAATTTAATCTACGAAATATTCCTCGTTTGTTTCGATGACATTTTGCCATCTTCTGGATAGCTTGGGAATATCTTGATGAGAAAAGTTTATCGATGTCGAGATGATGAAGTTGTCAATGCAGTTTTGTATATCTTCAAGCATCCTGAAATATATACTAGCCATAATCTGTGTTATACGATCCGTGCAGAAGAAGTTTCCAACCTAACGTCATAAAGCAGGATCACTTTACGGCGTCCTTGTCCAGTAAATGGTCTCTTTTCTTTTAACACATCATTCAACTCTTGGTCAACTCTTGTTTTGCACGATTGTAACAATTGTTAAGGCAACACACATTTCCAATGCAAAGCAAAATTTCTACATTTAGCGTTATTATAAAGAATATACTTTTCACCGTCCGTAGCGATTTCGTGCAGATAATCTTTTTTCAGTGGTTTCAGCAGCATTTTTTTTCAAACGAAACTGCATAACATTTTAAACATGTGAATGTCGACGTTTCACAACAGCAAAAAAGCAGGAATATAAAATAAATTTTAATAATAGTTTCAGTTATATAAAATCTACTGCTCAGAACTTTGTTGCTCTTCTAATAGTATGATATATATATATATATATAACTACTCAGTACAGAACTGTGTATTTTCAGTTTCAAAGAGAGTCCAAAGGGAATAACCAAGGATGATTATTTGAAGTTTTTCCACTTTTTAAACAATATTAACGACGTGGACACTGCACTGACATTCTATCATATCGCGGGAGCGTCGATTGATCAAGGTTTTCAAAATTATTACTAATGATATTACTAATATCAAAATTTAGTCTTTTTTACTAGTTTAAATGCACTTCATTCGCTGTGTAATTTTTACACATTTCAAACGCTAGTGATGAAAGTATGAAGGGGGTAGGCCACATTCGAATTTTTCATAAATCGAAATAATTTTTATTTGCTTAAACGCTGTATTAAAGTTTCACAAACATGTCAAAATATTATAGGCCGCACAAATCTCTAAAAGCTTCGATTCTATCGCAGTGTTACATTCGGCCCTGCCAAAGAGTGCCCTTTTCATTAATTGCAGGCACAGACTCTGCGAAATTATTGGAAACGCACTCGATTCGCGATTCGGAAACTATTTCTTGTAATCCGAATGACACAAACTAAGTATGAACAATCTTTTCATCGTCTTACAAACGACACAATGCTCGACAATGTTGTAGGTTATTCTATTATTCCTTATAAATATTATTCCTCGTGTTAAATTATTCCTTATATTCCTTCGAATAATTACACGATATTTTGAGAAACATGATAAACGGTTTATTTGACCGGCGTCTCCGGCCAATTTTTATGCTGCCGCCATTTTGTTAGAAATTACTAAGAAAAAATTTTTCTTTTGTAATTCGTTTACAACTTAACATACTCTTATTTACAGAATTTCGATTGACCCTTTTATTTCTCTGAAGCATATTCCTAAAATGTGTCTATTTGCACCTGTTCTACAGTGGCCTACCCCGTTAACTTACTTGCATTCTCTATATGAAAGAAACTCGTTAAGATTGATTGATGGTCAGATTTGTCTTTTTCTAGTTAGTGCCAAACAATTATTACCACAACATTTTATAGATAAACTTATACTCATTAAAATTATTTCAGCTACGCTAAAACACGTGGCAAAAACTGTGGCGCACGTTGATTTGGCTGATCACGTTATACAAGTTGTTTACACAATTTTTGACGAAAACAGTAAGTATTCGAATACTGTTTAAAATTTTACCGACATCGTATTTATTTTGGGTAATTGCTAACATCACTAATGTCTTCCATACACAACGGATATATTTTAAAAAGATAACCACATCCTGTATTATTATATTGTATATTCTAGAAAAATAATACAATTATTGAATCTTTTTTATTTAAACTTCTAGTGGATGGACAGTTAAGTAACAAAGAATTTGTTGCTGTAATGAAGAACAGAGTTTTAAGAGGACTAGAGAAACCAAAGGATACTGGTTTTGTAAAACTGATAGAATCAATGGCAAAGTGCATAAAAAGCAGTTATAGCGTGTCTTTTGATAATTAAAATAAACGAAATTCAAATTAATAGCAGCCTTTGCCTCTATAACGTGTTTGAATAACCAAACAGAATTAATTTTCCAATTATCTAATTTGAAATACCTGTGTATGATTATGCTATGAGTAAAGATACATGCAACAACAAACACGATTCTTCTTAATACAATCCTAAATAAACACACACACACACACACACACAATATATAAATATTATGTGTATATATTGTGATGTTGCGAAGCTCTATAGCAAAACGTCGAATTTGTAATTAATTATATTATGACTAGGCAGTTTTCTCACTTTTCGATTAGCATTGTCCGTTTTTCTAAAACTTGATTTTTAATACACTCATTTAATAAGTTTTTTTTCATATAGCATTTCATTAATCCTGATAACTTGTATTGTTTTCTTGCCGTTAAACGTATTTTTATCATTTCTCAAAAGCGAAATTGCAAAGTCGGGTTTTTTTTGTGATTTATTTGGTAATTCTCCTTTTCGTCCTCGACTTTTTCGTGTATTTGACGTAATTGTTTTACTTTTTTGGAGTTTTTTATGGGGATTCTGACTCTACCAAACGAAGGCTCAGATATCACTGAAAACACCGAAGACCTTAGATTATCGACGTTTCTTATTTGCCTTCAGAAAAATAACCCCTTTGCAGTTGGTTTCCCTTCAGTTTCGCAAGCTATATGTTTATCGTAATAATGGAGAGCATGACGACACTATTTACGTATTTATATTTTTGTGAGAAACAATACACATCTTACGATCCGCAGTTCTACCTTATTGTATGTATTCTGATTTGCATTGTAAACTCTGGTACCAAGTAGTATTTTGTGTAAAATCAAATATGTCAAATATTTCTATGGAAAGGGGAACATAAGTGTTTAAACAGCGCAAGTCAACGTTCTCGTGTCAGGGTTCTTACGGTCATTATATGCATTTAACATTGATTGTAGATTTCTATTTTATCTCAGAAACGACGTAAGAAGTGATTGTATCGTAGGCAAATTATGCAGGGTGTCCCAGCCTAAGTGATACGGAGCTCAAACTCCGAAACTATCGGTCAAATGCAACATTTCAAATATGGAAATTGGATGCTAAAATGGGACTCATGTTTTAGCGAGAAGAAATTTTTGTTAACTTTGTTATTTAACGAGATATGATGGTCAAGTTTCGTTTTTCAAATGGAACTATTTATTCTTTTTGATACCATGCGGTAACATGGTATCAAAGTTCCGTACCACTTAGGCTGGGACACCCTGTATAATAACATTGCAGTGTTAACAGTTCGGAATAACATTTATTCTATACATACTATACATACTATACATACTATACATACTCCTTCTAATCGTATCTTTCTGGAGGATCGGAAAACAACAATTTTAAGATTTTGACATTATTCATATGATTTCTACTGATGAAGCATGTTGTACGCCGAGTAAGCCGTCTTCATTATCTAAAATGATAAGCTAATTAACTTGCAGTGTGGATCATTTCATGCTTAATGTGTTAGATTTGCAATATACGTTAAAGAATTTGATACATTTAAATTATAATGTAGTTCACTTTAGTTACTAATTTTTATTCTCTAGACTACGAATTATACTGACACTTGCAGGGCCAATTTATTTACTTTGATTTCAACTTGTATAAATGGTAAAATTCAGTCCTTATTGTTAAGTGGAAACACTTGATAATTTTGAAAACATTTGTAGCTCAAGAAGGAGTCAACCTCGTCATTCTTTATATTCTTTAATTCATGCAACTGTTGAAACAGGCGGATAATAGTTGTGATAATAAAATCTGACAGGGCAAATTTTATCTGATTACATTACATTCCTTGACTTGTTCGAGCAACCCCATTCAGTCTAACTAATTTGAAAATTATGTTTGTCAAAGCTTTTCAGAAGTAGAGAGAGATCCTACTCTATTAAAACAATACGAACAATACGAATAGTTTTGTAGTGTCCCCTGGGCGTGTGTAAAGTTACATGAGCGTGGGTTGATGCGAAGGGGTTACTTCACCCCCCCCCCTAAAGGGGAGGGTGTAGAAAAACGCCTCTTTGAAACAGACCAGGGATGACGGAAGGGGTTGAAAAATTCAAAAAAACCTTTGGGGCGACTCTCCTTGATGCTCTCTACAAAATGCACCCCTTGAAATCCCTCTCGGACAAACCAACCCCCTCTAAAATCCACAATTTTTGGACGACGATGAATTAACTCCTTCGCATCAACCCTCGCCAATGCAACTTTGCACACACCCAGAAGACACTTGAAGACACTTGATTCCTCACGGAGTTTCAGCGAAATCGGTTGAAAACTCTCATAGTTACGACGGTTTGAAAAAGTGTCCCCTAAGTATTGCAAGTCAGCGTACTTCGAAGCTCTTGTCTCAAGTGAAAATATACGCTTAACTGATTAAATTTGAAGGTTTCACTTGAAGAGATTTAACAATAGACTACACTAATTAGACATTGAGTGAATACAAACATCTTTTGACCTCTCATATTTAAAAGGCTGGCCTACTCAACGTCAATAGCAGTTGAAATCATAATTAGTTCGTACTAACTGTCATAAAAGAATTAAGGTTCATCGAGAAGATTTGAGCGCTTGAAAATTCGATGGGAGACGT